ATAGTGAGCGACGCAGCATAGCGAGCGACGCACTTCATTTTACACCAAAATTAGCGAAATTTAAGATAGAATATCTTAGCTATTAGTGAATATTTTAGCGTTAAATTTTGATATATACTTTATTTTAGAGTTATCTCTAACCTATGAAAGTTTAAAACTCTGAATATTAATGTGGAATATCGCCATTTAGGCGCATGGCCTAATTAGGCCTAGCGTCTTATCACGTGACTAGTTAACGCTACTAGTCTATACTAGATCACGTGATATAGGTGGCGTTAAGGGTGGCGTTACTAGTGGTGTGATTTATTACTAATAGTGCTTAGAAATCCACCTACTAGGTGTTTCTAGCGCTATCTAGTAGTGTTTCCTTTGTCTATATAAGAGCGTTCTCTCCTCTCAGATAGTTAACTTAACTAAGCTTCCTAACAGTCACGTACATTACCTAAAAGGGTACGATCCTATGAGCCAATCTACTCTATGTCCTCCGAACAATTAATAATAAGTAAGATCTAGTATTTTAGTAGAAAAGTGGGGGCTAAAATCTAATATCTTACTTACTATTAATATTTAGAGTTTCGAATCTTAATATATTAGAGATAACTCTAAAATATAATATATATTAAAATTTAACGCTAAAATATTCACTAATAGCTAAAATATTCTATCTTAAATTTCGCTAATTTTGGTGTAAAATGAAGTGCGTCGCTCGCTATGCTGCGTCGCTCGCTATGCTGCGTCGCTCGCTATGCAACTACGTTATATTCCTATACCTTCTTCTTAAAGAAGAATTACTCGACTAAATATAACTACGAGATCTACGATAAGGAAATACTCGCTATTATACGATACCTAAAGGAATAGGATACTAAACTATAGAGCGTTAAGAAATTCGAGATTTAGTCTAACTATAAGAACCTTAAATACTTTATATCTATATAAAAACTCACTAAGAGATAAATACGTTAGTCCCTTATCCTATTAAGATATAACTTTACGATCTTATATATCCCCGGAAGGTAAAATATTTAAGCGGACGCCCTCTCTTAGAGAGAGTAGGATATACCTTAGGACTAAGAGGACAAAAGACTTCGGTATTATATAGTACGCCTTATTAAGCTAGAGATATTAGATAGAATAGGATCTAAAGTACTATAAGTAAATATAATATCGATAAAAGGACCGTTAATTAAAGAATAATAGAGATTAACTTAATAGAATAACTAGATATATCGGAAGACTATTAAGTCTATATAAAGAGAGGCCTATACGTTCCTCTCTAGTCTAGGTCTAAAAGTATTAATTATAGAATATACCCTTAATAAGGAAGGATAACTACTATTTCGGAGACGACGTTAGGTACTAGAATTAGAGACTCTCTATATAGTAATTATTTAATAGGTATACGACTTAAAGGTTACTAGTTACTTAAGTTAAGAAGGGACGGCGGCCTTAATAGTAAGGTAGTTCTTCTAGTTAAATATACTATAAGATATTTAAAGGTTTATATAGAACTACGACGTCTATAGATAGATAAAGGCCTAGAAGGAACGAAAATAGGGGTTCCTAAAGTCTCTCTTAATCCCTAATTAACTATAGAAGAAAGTATTAGTCGATTTTATTATAGAACTCCTAGAAAGTTAGGGTTATATAAACTTAATAGTTATTATAGATTAACTAGGGAAAGGAGTCTTACTTAAACCGTTACGTATAATTAAGTTAAAAGACGTAGTAGGAGTCTTCCTACGGACATTCTATTAGTAATATAGACTACTATTAGTAATTATATTAGATCGCGGCTCCTAATTCATAAGTATACTATAGAAAAGGATCTATTAACTCTTAGGTATTATATAGCGACTATCTATAGCTTATTACCCGGAGATAGATAGATCTACTAAGTAAATAAACTAAACGATTAAAACGTACCTTTATATGTTTATAAATAGAAAATAGGACGACTAGGTAGAACTCCTATCTATAGTAGAACTAGTAATTAATAATCGTAATGTATACTCTATAGGAGTAAGCTCGTTCTTCCTACTATATAAATATTACGTTAAGCTACTTTAAATATAAGAACCCCCCGGTACGGCGGAGACTCCTTAAGAACCTATATAATAAGTAGACTTTATCGTACGGTAACTCTAAGAGATAAGAGAATAGGCGTAGTCTTTAATAGTTATCGCGTAGTAGGAGTAGGAGGAGAGAACGAATTAAATACGATAATAAGTACCGTAATTCTAAGTTAGCGATAAGGTATAGCTTAACTTAAGAAATATATAAATAACGTATATTAATAAGAAACTAGACTAGAAGAATATAAAGTATACTGTTACGGAGGTAGTAAGATCTTATAGCTACTACCTAAACACTTCGCTAGGTATTCATAATATCTTCTACTTAGACCTCCTTTATATAGCCTTAAAAGACCCTCTCGACTTATAGAGAACGGACGATAACTAGCCTACGCTAGTAATAGTTAGAGACGATAAAGAATATAAGGTAAAGGCGATCCTAGAAGATAGGGTTATATAAAGAGGAAGAGGATCCTAGAAGTAATACTTAATAAAATAGACTAGATACGCCGAACTAACGTAGGAACTAATTGACGCGCTATAAGACTCCGCCGCGCTAGACACGTACAAGACTTCCTAGGTAAGTATAGAAGGAGGGGGGGGGGTGATATAATAGGTTAAACCTAGGAGAAGGCTTAGTTCTAGCGAACTAGCGCTAAGACTAACGCTAGGAAATACTACCTCCTAATTAGTTAAGATTTACCTATATAATATATAGGCGAAATACTACCTCCTAATTAGTTAAGATATATACGGTATAAGGGATATAAAGTCCTAATAGCTAAGATATCGTATATAAGGGAAGGTAAGGAGTTAGAATAAGTACGTAAGGGAAGGTAAGGAGCTAGAATAAGTACGTAAGGAAAGGAGTAAGGAGGTGAGGATAATAGTTACCTCCTTACGGCGCGTTAGAGGATATAAGGAGAAAGGAAGGATAGCTATTCCTTCCTTCTCTCTCCTCAGATTTATCCTCCTTATTACTAGGTTGGCTAGCTAGTTGCAGAACTCTTTCCAAACCCTCACATACCGTCCCTTAACGGATAGCGAATATTCTTCAGACGGCTACAATAACGCTCCTAGTACCATAAGATATAAGCGAATCTACGAGCTCTAACGTAGGTCCCATTACTAATAGCTTAGATTGTGACTTAGTGATTAGGAAAGGATAGTTCGTTTTTATCAAGAACGACTCTCTAGAGGATTAGATCGCCCGCGTAGAAAAGTTCCACCGGAAGTAAAGGAAACTTTACGCTCGCTAGATAAAGGAAGATAGTCCGGAAATTATAATGGATAATGGTTATGCGTAGCTCTTAGTAAATACTATATAGGATATTACTGAAGTCGAAAGGCGCGTCACTAACCTAGATACTAAGGAGCGGTAAGTGCATAAAGTCCCGGTCTAGCCCGCTTCCCTATCGCCTATAGGAGATTAATAGAAGCTTTTATAGACCGTTTAGGTAGAGAAAACCATTTTACGTTACACACTCTCTCTAGACTGCGGTATGATAGGGACGGCTATATATCCGCTCGTAGGTGATAATCTCGAGGGCGATCGCAATCTCGTCCGGCTAAGGATTGCGAAGATTAAGTTAACACCGCTTCAGCCATATGCATCTCAAGAGGGAAGTTTACCTTTACTTTAGGATGTAGTAGGCGATTATCGTGATAATCACCCCGTGTTGAGATATGCTGAGGTTTGATGGGGTGATTAATCGTACAGTATCTATAAATATTCATAAACACTAGCCGATCACTGCTTAGTAGATTCCTCTATATGATTTAGGCGGAATGCTTAGCCATACTTACTACATTCTCATAATAGATGGTGTTTTAATAAAAGGACCGGGCACGCGATACTAGTGTGCGCCTTTTATAGCGCTCCTTGCGCGTCTTCTGACCATGTTCTTCAATATCCATGACATTATCTATCTTTATGAGCCACACAGTCTCCGACGTCAACGCCTCAGGGCCACGGTGCATCGGGTCCCTGGCCGAGCCGGTAGTAGAAGCCGCACCAGACGAGCCAGACGAACCAGAACCACAGGTAATGTTCACGCTCAACGAGCCTAAGCATACGATTTCAAGACTATCCCCAAGATTATGTAGCTGACCATCCCAGTCGCAGCGATTATCGCTCCCTGCGAAATCGTTTGGCTCATACTTGATAACAGCCACCGTACAGTTTGGCAAGATGGACCTTAGATCCGGCCACCTCGATGTTTCTGTACGGGAGGAGCTGCGAAAGGATTGATAGTCATTGTTGGCGTATCTGGACTTCGCAACCGTATGGATTCGTAGTGTTCGCACATCATCTGATGCAGATGGCACCCGGGCGTTGGGACTCCAGCCTCTAGAATTCCCGAATCGTCCAGTCAAAAAAGGTTTGTGATTCTGAAACGTTCGCTGGAACTACGGGTAATATCCTGGCCGGATTCGAAGAGCGATAGTCTTGGCCATATAGAGCATGATTAGTTAATCCTATCTCAATGCAAATTAGTCGCCGTCATCTTGGGACGCGACGACAAGCACCTCATTACCATGAACTAGGTTGAGATAGGATCTTCAAAAGCACTCTCGCCATGGGTACTCGACACAGAGTAACGGAAGTCCTGCATTTTCATCAAGCGACAACGCATTGAGTGACCATGCAAATTTGAGGAAGCGGCAGCTAATCTCGACGTATCTCAAATACTAGCACGAGACTAAAGTCATGTCCAGCTGAACAAGTCACAATGCCTCTCCAGGGCGGAGTGTGATCTATGAATTCCCCATCCCTTTCCTCTTCTTCGGATTTTCAGTAAGTTAACTGGCTTTGACAGGAGCTGAAGTGAGATATGTAGCGTGCAAGCATAGACGATTGTCTTAACTGGGGCAGGGGCTTGCAGAACCTTTCAATCTGGCATCAGCATCAGGAACACTTGGTCACAGAGCTATCAGACACTGTATGCATCGTCCGCTGCAGGGCACTCCATTCTATCCTCTATTTCGCGACGCTGTAATGCTCTGATAGACCGAGGCGCGCAAAGAGAGTCGATTGACTAGTTCACCGAGACGCGGACGCGGACGCGCAGGCAAGTGCTATTTATCTAGCCAAGGCGTGCCAAGACCTGACCCACATGCTCCCCTCCCTTCACTCTTCACGCTTCACGTGCACCACAGGGCCTACATACTCATGCCTTCCTTTGAATATATAGTAGATCGCAGCGATTATCAACACACCGAAAAACATGGTCGATGACCAGTTCCTGCACGCAAAGTCAAGTCATTAGTCTGTTGCCCAATCATGCTTCGGCGGAAAGATCCAACTTACATGTTTTGTGCATTGACCGGGTGGTACAACGGCCACGTGTAGAAGAAAAGCATGGGAGTCGTGAAGCAAAGCGAGATAATGTTGACTGGCAGTCCCCAGCGCCCCAAAGACCAACGTCGCGGTGGCAGTGGCTTACCGTAAAGACGGCGCCAGATCAAGCAGCCGATTGTGATGGTGTAAGAGAACAAGATTGAGACCGTGCCTAGTGAGTTGAACGCGTTGAACGCGGTATAAGAGCCTGCACATCCAATGTTAGTCCCGTGTTTCATTGGCCGCGTGCAGAAGAAGTAACACTCCCGCTCGTGGCATAAAGCGAGGATTATTCTCCATCTCTTGGCCCGCGAGAGAATCCTTAAGCCGGGAGTAACGACTCGCAGTAAACCTTCGGCTTCAAGATTACTCAGAAATAGGGAGAGGCAGTTCGTACCAAGATTGATCAGTGACAGTAACGAGGTGATTATCGCGGAAACGAAGATTGCGTTGAGAGGGATGTTCCACCTTGACGGTACTTTTTCGAGCCAGTAGGAACCCGGAAAGCCTGTCAAATCCACAGATATTCAGCAGACGTCTCAACGCGCAGACACGATATGCCGTCTCACGAGGGAAGAGGAGGCTGCGAAAATGAACCTTACCTTTATCACGTGCAAACGACCACATCTGTCGTGATGCCGTTGCAACTTGTCCAACGCAAGCCGAAATAAAGATGACGATGACGACGACAACCATTATGCTTGTGCCAACATGGCTCCTGGTAGCATTGTAGAAGACTTGAATCATGGGTTGACCGGTCGCGGAGTTGAGGACGCTGTCGAGATCGCCGAGACAGAAGATGTATGTCCAGCCAACCACAATCAGCATAAGTGCGTTGGAAGCGACTGCCCAGACAACGACCAGCGGGATGGTCCTTGAAGCATCCTGAGTCTCTTCAGACATGTGTATCGTGCAATCGTAGCCCTACAAGCATAAGAAAGCAAAAAATCAGCTGTTGTCACAATATTAGGCAATAGATCACAGAACGCCTCACGCATCCTCACGTGCTTTCTACTTACGATGAGCATGCCGATCATAGGTACAAAGCCGATCGTTGCAGCAAGAGCTTCATCGCTATACCCGCTGTCGTTGGTAATATGGAGGATTGTCTCGTGAGCATTTCCACGTGGAGCCATCACCCAGAGCGGGATGATGATGACGAAGACTCCGAGAACGTGCAGGATAAGGACGACGGCCTCGATGAGCGGTAGTCGAACGGCGAGGAAGATGTTGAAAAGAACGCAGAAGACGACGATGGCGATCGTGAGGAGGGTCTCATGCCAGGCCAAGATTGTGTATCCCGGGAAATTGAGCGTCGCAAGGCCGAGTATCAGGGTGGACTACAGCCGAGAAGTAAGCACAAGCTCTTGAAAAGTGCGTCGAAGCCAAAGCGAGACACAAGTGTTGACTTACCACCTCAAAGGAGACGCTACAGAGGAATACCTGCCAGCCTAAGGCGATCAGCCACCCGACCGAGTAGCTGAGGCCCCTTTGAAACCTGGGAGGTGCAAGCTCCGACACCCAGTGATATTGGCCTCCCGCTGTCGGGCTCATCGAGGCTACCTCGGCCAGACTCGCATACACGGGCAACATGACAATCGGACTCAAGAGCAAGCCCCAGAACACTGCCGGTGTGCCTCCATCGCTCAGACCGAAGGGAGAGACGACAAGAACGAACTCCCATGCGACCATGACGGTGCTTGCAAAGCCCAGCATTGTCGAGAACCTGAACTGCCGCCGCAACACCTGCTTCTTGCCGAGCATCTTCATGTCCTGACGATCGATCGCCGTTCCTCGATACTTGGGCGGAACATGGCTGCCTTGCAAGGCGTCGGCTTCGTCATCGGGTAACTCAGCGATTCGAGGTGATTCTGACTTCGACATGGCCTTATGTGAACCTGGAAGGAGAGGAGAGAGTAGCAAAACACAGAGGAAGAATGCGACGTTTCGAAGCGGGCAATGGAAAGCAGACACCGAAGGTTTTTAACCCCCCCGGCGGTCCCCCGATGAATCCGTTTTGACCACGTGGGGTGAGACACAATAGCCACATGTTCCACTCGCTGTTTTGGGATGTCCAATCCCTCCGCTCTCTGCTATCCACATTCAACAGGCCGCCAAAGATAGTGCCAGCTCGCTGCTTCACTGATTACTATACCAGGTAAAGCGTAGCCTAAGCGTAATCCTAGCGACACTCGAATTTACAGTATGTTGAGCCGGAGAAAAGGAGAGGCCGACTCGGGGTGAGGGTATTTCATCTTATGGAAGTGATGAGTGGTGGCCGATCCTGGCTCGCATGGCATTGAAGCAACGGCTGGATACGGTACAATTTCCCCGTCCTAGCTGATGCTTTAGATCTGCAGCTAAGGTTGTTTGGCCCATTCCTGCCCCCTGTTTTTGTTATCGCGGGCGGGTCCGGACGGCACGGGGCAGGCGGCTGTGCCTTCTCCGTACGCCGTCTGATTAAAGCTCGCTAATAGCGTACGCGGGGATTTGCCTAACCAAAGTTTAAAGGGGGCGCTGGAAGCCATGGAGACATTTATCAACCTCTGCGCACCTTAGGTCTGCTGCGTGCACATCTCCAAGTACAGTTCTTTGTCGACTAACAATGTCGGCGGTACCACTTTACACTGCTGTTCCTTCAGGCCAGTACCCGCCATTTGCGGTAGTTACGGACAATGACCATCGCGCCTGGATTATCATCGCGGCAGCGATGGGCATCTCGTTCATGCTCGTGGCACTGGTGACCAGAGTGCTGATTCGAAAATTCGTCAGTCTGGGATGGGCACTTGACGATACAATTTTGACGATATCAACGGTTTGCCCAACTGACCAGAGTTTTATCTTCTTTCACGGCTAACACCGAGAGTTTAGGGTGTCGCTTTCGTGCAAGCTTCGCTGATCCTGTCCGCGTGCGCAGACGGCCTTGGAACGCCAATCAAGTTGATTTCTCCAGAATTGCAAGCTCGCATCGAAAAAGTAAGTCCAGGACTCTGACTCCAACTATAAATCCCTAATGGTCATTCTGAAAGTCGTATTACATGAGCAACCTACTCTATCTATGCGCTCTCGACCTTTCCAAGGTCTCCACCATTCTGTTTCTTCGGAGACTAATGGCTCCGGGTTCGAATATGCGTTGGTATTGTACAATTTTAGTGGGAATGGTACCGGCAACAACGGTTGTCTTTGTGCTCGCCGTTGCGCTACAGTGTGATTTATCCCACCCTTGGGTGATTGTTCACCAGAAATGTTCAGGATGGGTGAGCCTTCCTCGGTTTCTTCCAAATTCACATGACATGTTGGTTTAATGGAATACTGACAAGAAGATAGTTTCTCAGATGGGAGGTCCAAGGGGCTGTCTCAAGCTTGTTTGAAGTCGCCATCTTTGCTGCACCAATTTGGCTTGTTTTGAAACTTCGCAAACCGCTCGAGACAAAGCTGGAAATCGTTGCACCCTTTGCTCTACGACTACTGTACGTCAAGTCGCCTCTAAAGGCTCCGAGCAATCGCAGACGTTCTTCGGGAGTTGCTGACGTAACACACAGCATTATCGTACTCACTGGGTTGCGCCTCGCCAGCTTCGATCAAGCAGATTTCGCAACCGACCCGACCTTGCGTGAATCGAGATATATCTGCTGGACACAAGCCGAGATGAGCTACGCTGTCATCGGAGCAACACTTCCCACCGCTCGCAGACTCGTACTCGACCTAATCACGTTCTACAACGGCGGATACTTCGGCAGCACGGCAGAGAGCGCCAATCGCAGTGGAGCCTACCAGATGACGAAGCTGACGTCGAGGGTCAAGCGGAATGCTAAGCTCGCGAGCACAAGGACTGACCAGGATGCCGCATGTGACGATGGTGACAATAACAGTCAGGAGATGATCATAAGGAAGGATATCACAGTTGAGGTCATACATGAGCAGGGCAAGTCCGAGCCTGGGGAGTTCGCGCGCGTAATCCCGGATAATTGGAAACCTATGAATGAAAGATGACCTTTGTACTATTAACTGAGCTTGTGGAGGTATGATGAGCATTTTCTAAGAAGACCTTCAGCCGAAAAAATCAGGGCCAGAGACAGTCCATAGAAACACGCGCTCTAGGTGCACCAGACCCAGATGTGGACCGCGGGCGGCAGCACAGACACCCATAACAATCCTAACGGCCGATTGACACTAAGTACGCATACCTCTAGCCGAGGTCAACATCCGCCAAGCCCATCAACGGACTTACGTGAAAGACGACTGAAAGCAAGCGGTGAGAACGCTTCACTGAAATGTAGGGACTGGTGTCTCCCACGCTTCCCGTCTCCTGCCTCACATCGTCACAACCAAACTGGCGCTTTCCCGCCAATATTAGCAGCACACTGTCATCTGTCACCTGTCGATTATGCGGATCTAGTGGCGAGATAGGAAGACTCCACCTGCGTTTCCGGGACGCTGAAGCTTAGCTTAAACTCCAAAAGAAAGTCACCATGGCATCCCTTCACGACTCCAAGTTAGCAGCCTTTCCAGACATCAAGGCTCAGTCCGATGATACTCGTCCCAGCCATGTCAGCTCCGCCCCGAAGAAGCACATCGTTAAAGGTGGACATGGTTTTGCTTTCGAGGTCGAGAAAGGCGAACACTTCCGCGTCGTGGACGGCTACGGCGAGCAGGTTACGGACCTTGTGGCCTGGGTAAAGGGTACGAACTTCGTTGAGAAACTCTCCATGGCATATACGAGATGCCGCCTAATCGGCGTCCCGCCCGAAAAGGGCGAGTACCTCTGGACCAACAAAGACGAGCCTATCTTCCAGGTCGTAGACGATACGGTCAGGGTACACGATATGACATTCCCGTCTTGCTTCCCTGAACTGTACGAGAAAGCAGGCCGCCCTAACCATCGGAGCTGCGCCGGCAATATTGCAGAGGTGATGAAGCCGTATGGCATGGGCAGTTATCTGGAGGTACCCGAGCCGTTCAACATCTTTATGAACACGCCGAATTACACTCTGAAGCGTCTGAATCCTAGCAAGCCTGGAGACTATATCGAGTTCAAGGCGGAGAAGGACGCGATAATTGCAGTGAGCAGTTGTCCGTACGATATGCATGGTATCAACGGACGCGAGCCCACCGACATTACTATCTTCACCAGCATGCAGCCGATGGACGAGACCGTCTCATCACACGACTTGTGAGTCCGGAAGCAGGGATGATACTAGCACCTGAAACCCACCAAACGGACAACAGGGACAACTATTCTTGAAGCTGAAAGCTGTAGATAGGTATGAAGCTGCTAGCATCTGGGTAGATATGAACGAAGTTTCAGGTCTGAGTATCCACAAATTTCTCTCTGCTTTGGCCAATTTCTCATCTGTGTCAGTTGCCTGATTTCTTTGTCTATTCGAAGCTCGAAGCTGAATAACATACCAACTTCTGTGGAGAACCCCTCCCCCCACTAAAAAATAGTATTGAGCCCTGGAATGAGGTTGCGCAGCTTGTTTCCTCAGATTGAAATTCAATTACTGTCGCCTTCCCGGGGAGGTGCTGGCTCTGTAGTAGGCAGAGGAGAAGGAGCAGCGAGGCCGGTAGAGACCAAAGGAGGCTTGATGGCGTCGTCCACATGCGACAACTGCGACGGCGCAAAGGTCGATAAGCTGCGTTGCATTTTCTTCGCCGGAGGTGCACAACTCGCTATATTTATTGCAAAGCCGTGTTACCAAGAAGCACATGAAAGCACCGTCGGCACCTTCATTGTCCACGCCGAGATATCTAATAAATAGATTATCCTGCAGAAATCCCGATCGCCTGCAACTTTTAAGCCTTCTCATTTTTTCAACACCTTTGTCTCGCCAAGGTCCCTCCTCTTTCTCATTGGCTGCATAACTGTCGCCTCCAGGAGGGCATTATCTTTGTATCGCGAGAAGACTTGGGAGGGTGATTTTTCAAGGGTTTCATCCTGGATTGTATCGGCCGAAGGTGAAAGTCGCCATCACGTTTCACGTACCGGGTCGGTGTAGGAGGGCGCAGCAGCTGTAGGGTGATGCGGAGATGGTAAGAGAATAAAATGCGAAGACCACGCTATTGAAGAAAAGATGCAACAGGTCGGTCTAACTTTGTATCTAACTGCCAGTGTGAAAGTCGCGGCCGGGCGCAGCCAAATCCCATTTCATATTTTGGGGAAACCGTTGCCGCTCTTAGCGGGTGTTTAGATCATGTGACTACGAACCATTTGCGTCTGTAATTTACGGTATTCTACACTTTCTCACCTGTCTCTTATTGGAGGAGCTTAATTAATGCGCTTGACTAAATATGGTATAATGTGAATTATGGTGAAGCAAATATGGGGCGAGATTCTTTTCAATGTGTGCACGAAGCTGAAGGCGGTTTTACAGGTCCTTATATTTCTCTGGTACTATAGTGAATGGGAACGTCAGAGTCTAAAAAAGGGCCCTCGAGAAAATTTTCCAGTCCGACGACGTAAGCCAGAACCACAGGTCATGGTAGAGCCGGAAATGGGCCCTCTTTTAGGGACCATTTTCGCTGAAAGGAGAACTGTTATGCAAAGGAGAATTTGACCACAGCCTTCCATGGTGCATTCAGTCTTTCCGATGCCCCAGCGAAATTTGTTTTTCTACCTCGCCCACGAATGGTCGAATCTCGGTCAACCATAGTCGTTGTAAACCGGCATATTCACGTGACACTTTTGGTGCTTTCAGTCTGTCGGCTTTGTCCAAATGACTCGCTTCTCATAGTAGCCTCAGCAATAATTATATTATTAGCCGTAATGCTTCGTGCTCTTAAGTTTCCCCGAAACTTCCCCTCTAGAACGGCGACGTCGTACGCTTCTCATACAACGACCGTAGCTCATCTAGTTATCACGGACCTAACCTATTAGGGATCCCTCCCCAAACACAACAAACCGGCTAAGCATAGGCGCCAAGATTACATAACATATTAGGGGCGTATACTGCGCGTACCCTACTCAAACCCTCTTCAAGACTTTAAGTCTCTATATATAGGGCTAGAGCTATCAGTACTAGGCGTTATTACTTCTATTAACCTATCTATCTACCGCTTCCCTTATAATTCTCAAAGCCTTCACCTAGATACGGTTTAACGGAAGTAATAATAGCTCTCTTAACCCGTAGCTAGTAGTTAGGGGTTAGTGAGTACAGTAGGAACGTACTCGCGACGGCTACACCTAGCGGAGATAAAATACTCTTAAGTACCGAACCTATATAGGAGGGTAGGGAGATATTCGAAGAGCGTTATAAGCGTATTTAAGCCCTAGTCGTTATTAAAAGGCACTAGGAGAACCGCGAGAGGGAATTAGAGGCTATAGAACTTAAACTCATAGGAGAGACTCCTAGGAATCTAGTGCGTATCGAAGGGGCCGCGTACCTCTCTTATAAGCGAAACGTATCTAGCGACGTCTACGGACACTCCTTAACGAGGCTAAAAATGGCTAAGTCCTCTACCTTCTTAGGTAAAAATATTAAAGAGTTATAAACGTTTAAGATCGAGTAGTCGATTCGAAATAAGACTAATAGGCCTTTTATACTCTCTAAGTAGGTAGAACGTATCTAGAAAGTAACTATCTATCTAAAGAGTACGGCCGCGATCTTATAAGTACGATATAAGGATCTAATTAATACTTAGGACGAGTTTATTACTTTTTATAAGGGTATTATCTTAGACTCTATAAATCGTATATTAAACGTACTCTTATCGCTAGCCTTTAAGAAGTAGGGCGATAATTAGGGAGCGCGGGCATTCCTAGACGAAGTGGAGGCGCTAGAAAGAGATATTCCTAAGCTATCGGTAGAAGAGCGAGTACTATACCCTAGCTCCGCGTGAAGGGGGAGTATATGTCCCCCCTCTACCGGACCTACGCGTAAAGGGTGAAAGGAGTACTCTAGGAGCTATAGAAGATATAGCCTACGGTTAACTACTATAAGGAGTGACCGAATAATTACGGGCGCTATAGGTAGAGGATGAATAGTATAGAGACCGTAAGTAGGAGGTACTAGATATAACACTACTATATAGGTCTTGGAGGAGGGGCTAGTCTATCGATAGTACGAACCTAGTACGTTACTAAAATGCCGCGTATATACCTTATGATCCCCGTATTAAGGTAGAGATCCTATGTATTAATTATAACGACCTATAGTAGGGGGGACACTTTAGTAACCGGTAGACTACGGAGGTAATACATAGGTTCTACTAGTAGTTAATGTTATAGAAGGACGTATAGGACTACGTCCGCTTATACATTATATACTAGAGAATAAAGGTACTAAGGCATAAGCTATATAGTCTACTAGAACTACTATCGTAGCCTAAGAGACTCTAGTAGGATATCTCTATAGACTTTATCGTAGGCTTACTACCGTTAAAACATAGGGGAAGAGTATATGACGCGATACTAAATATAGTCGACCGATACTCGAAGATAGTTAGATATATCCTCTATACTAGATTAATAGATGCCCTAGAGATAGTAGAGCTACTAGTCGACGAGATCTTTATAAAGTACGGAGTACCTTACTCTATTATAAGCGATAGAGATACTACCTTCACTATAGAATACTAGGGGAGTATATACTACTATCTTATAATTCGTAGACGCTTCTCTACTATATACTACCTATAGATAGACGGATAGATAGAGAGGATAAACTAAATACTAGAAGTATATATCCGGTACTATACTAACTACGAATAGGACGATTAGGTAGCCCTCCTAGCTAGCGCTAAGTTTACCTATAATAATATAGTAAATGTTAGTATAGGAAAGGCGCCGTTTAAAGTTATCTATACCTTTATACCTACGATACGGATTAATACTATACCTCTAGAGGAAGGCACTTATAGTGAAAACGTACGGTGAGACGTAATAGTAATAGTGAACTGGGGCGAGGCTTCTAGCCATAGGCGCCAACTCGTACGGCGGTAGGTAATAGGCGCGTTCACATCTTATCAAGCAGTTGATTAATTATCTTATTATTGTCCTCTCTATCTACCTAGGCAAATAATAAAAGAAAAGACTACTAAGCTAAAGTAGTACCCTCGAACTAACTAACTAGAGAGTGATAATGTTTACCTATATAATATATAGCCAAAAGCTAACTAATTACCTCGCTCGCCCACCTTATATCTTAGGTTCTCTCTAAACCTTTCCTATTATATCCCTCCTATTATCACTCACTTTCTTAACGACCTCGCTTAAGTCTCCTAATCAGCTTTATTAGCCCTCCCGGAATCATTAATTCTTCTTTATACCCTTTAAAGCCTCCGTAAAATTATCTAGCTATCTCGAATCTAATTCCTTTTGTGGAATATCGCTATTTGGGCGTACGGCCTAATTAGGCCTAGCGCTTTATCACGTGACTAGTGGATACTACTAGTCTATACTAGTACTAGATCACGTGGTATAAGTGGCGATACTAGGTGGTGTGATCGCTTATTAATAGCGATTCAAGGGATTTCTTTTATCTTCTATTATTACCACCTATTATCTATATAAGGACGCTTCTACCTCCTAGATAGTTATCTCAACTCAAGTCTTTTAGTATCTAGTAAATGACCTCCTCCGACCGTACACTCAGACCTTCTAACACCTTTAAGCTTATATTCACGAGAGTTAACGCCTACCTACTTTACTTTAGGTAGCGCTTAACTATCTAGTAGATCTTTAAGGAGATTAGGAAGCGATCTTCGATATTAACCTAAATAGTAGATAACGTAGCCTATAAACGCACCTTCTCGTAGATATTAGCATTAATAACCGTAAGAGCGTTCTTAACTACCTAAAGTCCATAGTTACTTTTATCTTATTAATAGTTAGATATTAACTTAATATTTCGCGGCGGGATACTGAAAATACGCTCCTTCAATCACTAAACGAAAATATCTAACGCTAGCTTACTACCGCTTAACTAACTAAATCAAGAGTCGATAATAGAGTACGACTATATTATCCTATCCGCTATAAAGATAAGCTAGTAGTTTTTAGCGCCTACTAAGTTATCGTTAATAATAATAAGTCGCCTAGAGAGATTATTAACGTCTCCCTAAGCCTTAAAATCTATTAAGTCGTTTACTTATCGACATTAATTAATCTAAAAAAGAAACGCTAAACTTAAGATAATAGAGCACTTTATATAAGATTCTTTTCGAGAGGCGGTAATCTTAGTATTAATAAAGGAACTACTAACCTATCCATTACGGCTAGAACTCTAGAGCGCACTCCAAAGAGCTCTATTTAAGACATTAATAGTCTTATAGTTAGGATACCTAAGTAAGATCTAGTAGCTCTAAGTCTTAAGTTCTTCCTCCTATCGCTTAATTAGTTATATTAGGCTCTTTATTAGATCCTCGTATTAGGCCGTAATTCTTTCTAGTCCTTCTAGATATATAACGACTCCTTTTTTAGCTATATATAGATAGGTAGACGCGTACCTCCTAAGTATATACTTAGCGAGAAGACTCAACGTATTAACTATCTTTTTAATGCCGTATTTATAGTATTTCTAAACGTCTTCGCGATTAACTAATAACTTATTCTAGCCGTAATTTATTTACTTAATATATTTTTGAATTAGCTCCTATATAAATATAATAGGACTTCTAGAGTTTAGAATTAGATTTAGTAAGTTCTTAGGCGTATCGCTCCTAAAAGATTTTAGTAAAGGGACGGTACTAAAAGGGCTAGTAATATACATTCTCTAACTTATAAGTTACTATCCTACCTTAATCCTATAGAAGAGTCCTAAAATCTTTAGCTTCTTTATACTTAGGTTAAGAGAGATTATTAAAGTTAGTAACTTAGATCTAGAGGTTATTATCTATAACTATAGCCGCTTTACTACGCTTAAGATATTAATTAAGTTAGCTTTTATTTAGTCTACCTATTCTAGACTCCTAATAATAAAGTATTCTTCTCCTAATTTTATAAGTTATATTAAACTTCCTCGTATTATATCTACCGAGCTAGACTATATTAGAAGAGATCCTTACTAAGGCTATATAGGAACTAAGATAACTAGTAGAGGAGTGACTAAGAGAACTAGAGGGGGAGTTTAATCTTATTAAGTAATATATATATTCTAACGTCTTAAGGAAGTATTAGAGAGACCTAT